GTTCATTCCATGTTGTAACTCTAATTACAAGATGGCAACCGGTGAAGTTGTACCCAGAGCTGTTCACTACCTCAGACTCGGATGTATGCGTTTTTCTTGCAACACTATCAATGCCTAAATTAAACTGTAGCAGTCAGGTGGCACAAGTAAGAGCTCTATACGTTGTTTATGTTCATTATTATGGCTCGTTTCCACTGAGGGGTACGGTACAGTACAGTACAGTACAGTACGGGCCGGGTCGGGTACACCATGATCCGGCTTGCGTTTCCACCACCAACAGTACCCTTACTTGATAGGCGTGGTGTTTGCCAACGTCATGTTCGCGCGAAGAAAGCGACATAGTAAACAACAATGTATGACAGACAGCAGATCTTGATCATCTTGTTCTTGCTTCTCGGCATGTTTGTCACTAGAAACAAGCGCTGGCATTACGCGTTTCTCAATACCGAGTAGCCATTGCAAAGTCCGACTCAGGAGAATGATCCAGAGGACGCAAGTCCAGTAATTCTGCTAATGGAACAGCGCGTTCTTGAACGCGGCACTCAGCTCGCTCTGGCTCTGTGACTCCGGTTATCTCTGACTCTGTATGTTCATAGGCAACAATAAAACGAAATATGTTATAAAACACCACCCTGCTTCTTTTCGATTTCATTTCAATACATTTTAAACATTATAAAGCACACAAATGTGGTTCAGGCAACGCATAGCCTATTGATAATATTCACTGCATGTATGTAACGTTATATTTATAACAAAACTAAATATAAAACACTACCCTCTTTATAAAACACAAGTCTCTTTTCGTTTAAATTTAAAAATATTAAACATATTCCAGGCAATATGTATGCTAATGTATTGCATATCGCATTGGTACAAATGTTGCAATAAACATTACAGATTATCTTGTAATAAAGTAAAAAACTATCTCTTTTTGTTGAATTTCAGTTTTATCAATAATAGTCATTATAAAAGTATAAGTAAATGGTACAAAAAGATATACAGTAAAGCTTAAATAACAAAGAAACAATTCAGTCAGTCAAATATACAAATTCAGCGCTCAAAGATGTGAAACTTCACGTAGCCTTCTGCCAAAACTATTGGCCAGGGAACGAATTATAGATTCACGAGACCAAAGATCCCCTGTTAGGTTTATATAAGACGAACTATATCTCATGTTTAACCACTACAGAGACGTCGGAGTCAGCGGCAAACATCAGAACGACTAGCCGAGGAAAGGCTGTTCCAGGCGGGGGACACAAGCGCGAGCGCTAGGTGATCGCTTGGAATGGATCTCAGTCAAATTATCATAAATCTATAAATAAACCACAGATTTGAGCTTTAAAAAACTACTTTCTCGCCTGAAAACTCTTAAAACTACATTTCGTGACACAATAACAGTAGTATTATATTTCAACTGTATGCTTCTAATGCCCATGTAGCACGCGCGAGTGACGATACTCTGTCCACCAATCACCGTTCTGCAGTGAGTCTAGCTCCACCTTTTAGTACCCTTTCACTGTGCTAGGTACCCCAACGGAAGGGTACCCAAAAAGTGGTACGGTACGGTTCGGCTTTTTGGTACCATTCACAACTTTTGACTATGGAAACGCAAATAATTGCGTACCGAACTGTACCGTACCGTACCACTCAGTGGAAACGAGTCATTATTGTAATGTCATGTGTAGGGTTGGGAACCGAGAACCGGTTCTTTTCCAGAATCGGTTGTGTTTTTGAAAAAATACCGGAACCGTGCAAAATTCCTAAGTTTCGGTTCCGAAAACGGTTCTGATGCCGATGCGATATCATCATGTGGGCGAAGTGCTGGGAGTAGAAGACGCCGTCTTATTCCTAAATGACAAAAACTTCACCACTGAAGTTGCGGTTTGCTCTCACACGCGCTGCATTTGTCACACACAGACACACGCACGCTGCGCGCGCCGACCGCCGAGTCACTCTCTAGCCTACATTCAAATCTGTTTGGCTGAGAGAGAGAGAGGGAGCAGTTGTCGATATGAAACTGCTTTACAATCACAGTCTCAATATTTATTTGTTTCACATATTCAAATGATTTCTGTTACAGAATTAGTGAGATTATAGTTTGAGTAAACATTGACGGTAGTGGTCAAAACAGATGCAGTCCGTATATTTTTTGTGTTCAGAATTTACAAAATATATACAATGAGCGAGTGCATTATAATGTTTTTTTTTCAAACCGTGTTTTTGTCTTATCTTGAATCACTACGTAAAGCCTGTAATAAGCGTTAATACTCGGACTTCTTTAGACTGGCCGGCGGATCGCAGCTGCTGCGGAGTAGCCCAATGCCTGCGTGACTCGTCATGGACATAAACAGAGAGAAGTAGCTCCGGCAACAATGTTCTTCCGCAAGACGCATGCAGTTCTGTTTATTAACTGCTAGAGCGCCGATTTATCCAGTAATGAAATAAGTAAAGTCTTTATGAATCAATCATTCAAACCGTTTTAAAAAATAATCTGTTCTACACACATATGTGTGTTAAAGCATATACTATTCCTTTTGAGAGGGTATTCTTCACTGTTGGAGATACAATAAAGGAGAGGTCTAAATTATTATAGAGAATGCAGAATTTTTTAATTTCCTTTATATATAATTTTTTCTGTTAAACTAATTTGTCATGTACTATAAGAAATAAACACAAAAAGGATTGTGGATTTTTCTCTTACTAATATTTTTAATTGAATGGGAACCGGAACCGGAATCGTTTGGCGGAACCGGAATCGGAACCGGAACCGGAAAATTTCTCACGATTCCCAACCCTAGTTATGTGCTATGATTTAGCGCTGTCTCTCATGATGCTTTGCAGACTACTGTGCTCGTTCTTTTGGTGGAGGCATGGTTTTGGAGACTCTTCGAAGGGAGGGTGGGATCTATTGCTTACATAGGCCAGCTTGCTATGGCTAGCCTCTCTGTAATTGCCTACCCTACCTTTAAATAAAACAGGCTAACATTTTGTAGTCACAAAGACGCACAAACACAGCCATACAGGCAAACATATTAAGTGAGTCATCTTAATAACAGGAACTGATCTTGATAACAGGATCAGTTTCTTTACTGCCCCTATTAGTATGCAGTCTGATGTAATTAGTGTAAACATAAATCATCAGAGCCAATTGAAAACCATGTCACACCAAACTTCTCTCGCGGTTCATTGAAATGCTGTTGTGAACCGACACTGAGAGGCTTCAGTTAACACAAGGGAGACTAATCCTCTCTATTACAGAGAGAAGGATTGAAACCATACAGCTGAGAACAGAAAGATAAAGAAAGAGACTAAAATACAGACCAAGAAAATAAGGAAAAGAAATACTGTGAGAGATATGGACGCAAGCTGTTCTGGACCCTCTTGCATTAAAGTTCAAAGGTTTTTGATCTGATATTTTTAAGGTTTGTTTATATTGGTTTAGAAACCCTTCATAAACAAACCTTAAAAATGTTAATATTCTGATCTTTTACATAACCCACAAAGGTCTTTTTACATATTTACGTATCCTTATTGTCATTCTGGTATCAACAGCAATCTACATAATCTTATAATTATATTTCAAAACCAGGTCCAGACAAATAAGCAAAGGCCAGCCATTTGCTGAAGGACAAGTCAGCAGCAGACTCATTTATTGACCAGCTCCATGGCCCCAAACAAACACAGAGAAGTTGCAGCTCCATGGGGTGAAATGACATATCTGTGTAATCAGAAACCCACTAGTACAAATAAAAAATAGTGTAGTGGGCTTTCACCCTGGCTTCTAGCTCAATATACTGTTACACTTTATAGTATCCTTGGCTTGAAGTGGATATGCTGTCTCTACCTTACACCAGCCTATACAATCTGTTCCAGTCTGTAGCCAGCTGTCATAAGGTGTACTGTAATTACACCCCTCTGTGTGCTATCTCAGCAGTCACTGAATGTAGCTGGACTATGTCATATGGCTATGGTTATAGCTATTTTTTACTGTGTTAAATATACCCCCAGTAAAGTACTGAGGTTGAATTGAGATGCAGATAAAATAAACTTTTATTAACAACAGTATTAGGCAAAAACCCAATTTTTGTAGGGAAATTTCAATATTACTTTCATTAAATGTTGTTCTCATTGTTCTTAGTATCATACTGAACTGACCGACAGCTTCAATGATTATAAAATGAATGCTCTCTACTTTTTTTTTTTTTTTTTTTAAAGGTTTTGGATTTCATCAGACTTTGACTTCCTACTTGTTTCTATATGTTAGGGACTAGAAATGGCTAATAAGTCAATAAGTGCTCCTCTGCTGCCGTCTACTGGTTATAATGGTAATTTCATGGCTGTTTTATATCCGTGGTCTGCACCAAATTTGAATGCTTCACACTAGATCTCGGTGCGATGTTATTAATTCTGTGGCAATTTCAAACTCTTTCTCACTTGATCTCATAGCGCTGTGTAGTAACGATGTCACATGCTCAAGATATTTCTTGAATGCAACTGTAATTTCTTATCAGTTGGGTGGTGGTGGCACCAGTGCGACCTCTAACAAAATGTTTTTGCACTGGCATGAGAAAAGTTTGGGGTTGAATAATAATTATTGCGATTATTATTTGCAGTGAGTCTTGAAATGATATTTGCAATGATATCTTGAAATTTTGATTTCACCCAATTTTCTTGCTTTCATTGGAGAACACAATGCTCTAATAATCTGACATTTTAATAAAGGTGTAGCTCAGGCAAATGTTAATTGTCATAATTTACTATATCAATTATTACACTCCAAACCTGTATAATATTATTTCTTCTGTGGAACATAAAAGATCTTTTTTTGAGAAATGTCTGTTCTTAGTTGCTGTTGTTTTTATTTGTTGTCTTTAACTCTAAACATGGTCAACTTCAAAAATGTGATTATTATTTTATAGTCTTAAAACATTAAATTTGTTCCAAGTCTTTTGGATCCATTCAATCGGTCAATCTCTATTTTGTTATTTCTTTCTTTACAGGACCTGGACTCTTTGTGGTACTCCTGAATATTTGGCTCCTGAAGTGATCCAGAGTAAAGGTCATGGGCGAGCTGTGGACTGGTGGGCTCTCGGTGTGCTCATCTTTGAAATGCTAGCAGGGTGAGACCAAATGTTTATTTATATTTGAGTCTGTGTACCCCTGGAAGTTTGTAATTTACTATAGGGGGTCTACAGAGGTGTAGGAATATTTAATATTTTTATATAAACATTTTCTATTGATCGAAGTATAAATATTATATATTGTAATAGTGGTAGTTGGTGTTTTTTTAATGAATGCTATTACTAAGTTTTACCTCCCATATATATATATATATATATATATATATATAGGCTTCTGGATGGAGTGAAAGGATGAATGAGTTCAGAGAGATAGACAGGAGCTATGTTATGTAGAGATTAGAGTAGAATTTTTAAATCTATTCTTTTTCGAACTGGCAGCCAGTGTATAGATTTGAGAATCGGGAGAGATGTGGTCATATTTGCGACACTTATGAATAAGTCTGGCCACAGCATTTTGGACCAACTGAAGTTGGGCGCTTTGAGAACTCGATATATAAGGAATATATAAGGAATTTGCTTAATCTATCCGACGTGTGTAAAATGCATGACCACAGAGTTTTCATTTCAATAGTTTTCGGAGTGAGAAAGCCTTTGATTTTAGGCAGTAGATGAAGTTGTTAGAAACCGGGACTGATTACGGATGAAATGTGTTTGTCAAATTCAGTTTGTGTGGAACTTGGGTGTTCAGGCTGGTCAACAAGAACACCTAAATTCCACACACCTGGGGATAGACTCCCTGAATCAGGGCTTATACACTGAGAATTTTAATTTAAAAAATACACCACTAGAGGGCAGCAGTGGAATATCGAGCTCTGCCAAGGAACTAAACATGTCTCAGTGTTCTCTTTTCAGTGCTGTCATTATTTATCCATATTGTGATATTTATCCTTATTTGCCTTGACATTAATTCCTGCAGCCCATATTCAGCATGCACAAACTGGCATATTTAATATGCACACAGATAATCTGCTTGCTTTTACAGTATCTCAGGGGGTGGATGTGCATCTTGGAATAGACCTTGTTTACAAAAAGATTACATCCAGATTAATCTGTTATTACCAACACATGTGGGCATAAATGTGTGGTAGAACAGCATGTCAAATTTGTTGATTTGTTTCTTGATCAGCAAGTTCCACACAGCTGCACTTTGTGCATAATCTTTGTTCTTGCACAGGAAAATGTGTTCATTTTGTCACATGGACTTTAAAGCCGGTGTGAAAATAAACTTCTTCCCTCCTGGTAAAATTTTGGATGCTGTAGTGTATATCCATTCCAAACTGCTCAATTCCCCACCTGCATGTTGCTGAATCTAAATCTGCCCTAGAGCTTTCACAGGCTCTCGACTGAAGGAAAGAGTGACCCACCCTCTTCATTCGTCCCAGACTTCTTTTGAACTGTTTGCTCCTTCAAGTCAGTGAGAGAAAAAGTCCTGGTCCCTTATTTTTCCAAGAGACAGACATAGGCCTCAGCTTGGCCAGACATGCAAAAAGCTCTCTTCAGTCATATCTGAGACTGTGTGTTTGTCCGTTCGTATGTTAAAGGTTATTTGACTCTCCTTTACAATATAGCAAGATTTTGAAATAGTTCCTCCTTGGCCATCAAAGGGCTAGCAACCACAATGTAGTGACCGACCGTGTATGTGGGTGTGAGTATTTCTGTCCTAACTACTTTTAAGGATAAAATTGGTGAAAATGTCAGAGCATAAACATGTAGAATTGCATTAAAAAGCAAAAATGGTTCACAAACCATGTATTTTGAATTAAGGATTGGGTTGGGGTAGGATTGGGTATCGTTTGAATTTCAACGATTCTGATACTGCTCATCAATTCCTTATTTCGATTTCAATAAGATAACCCTTATTGCAAAAGCAAAACATTTCATTGTTGCTGAATAACATGAACAAAAATCAGCTGGCTAAAGAGCACTTAAGGAACTTTTGCCTATGGTTTAAAAATATCATTGCAGATCAACTAGCTTAACTAATATACATTTTCAAACATTATAAGAAAAATAAACAAAGCAAGTAAATAAAATACTCTAATAATAACGGAACAAAGATACGATTGAAATAAACAATGTTTTAAGATTTTCAGGTATTCAGGGACAGAAACTAATGAAATGTAAAATAACTGCACTTTATGAATAAAATATAGGCTACATTACAAATATAGTTACAAAAGTTATTCAGTCAAGAACAGAGAGTTAATTTTCTTTTAACTTTCTTTTAATTTTCTATTTCCCATGATTCATTGCGGTTTCAATTGACTAAACGGTTTTCCACTTCCTGTTGAAGTATTAGAATGCTAGTCCAGACCACACATCTATATACAATGATATATATTTTATAGATCAGTGGTCCAGACATTAGAAAATATCAGTTTACACATGCGTTTTATATTCACGGACATGACCGTTAATAAAGCGACTTTAAAACTTTCACCGAGAAACCACAAAGAAACCTTTCTGTGAATTTCGTTTTTTTTTTTTTTTTTTATTAATTGAATCTTAATTTAAATCAATGTTTCATCAACCAATTGACTGGTTTTAATAAATAAGAGGTATAACAATAGATGATCATGACGGAGGCGACAGCGCGCAAACTGGACTTTGATCTGAAACTCGGCGTAACGTTATGCCTAACCTCACAGCCCTGAGAAATATTATAGACTGCATCTTTGAAAGCAGAGGTAGACGGGTAGTCAAAGGGCTAACCAGCCTAACCTGTTAGTACTGTTCTGCAGTCGGGGTGATAGAAGCTGTCGGATGTTTGCTGGATTAGGGAGATCGTGCAATCATGCATCAGCTATCCTTTGTTATGAAGAAAAGAAAAACGTTCATTTTGTTTTTATCTGTGATTTAAATAAAAAATAACGTGATCAGATCACATTTGATGAATGTTTTTTCGATTTAGTTTAGCGATGTGAGGATGACACAATCTAAAACACATGGCAAAAAAGCATAGACCAGACTAGAACCGGAAGTTGACAACCGGAGTCGTAGTCATGGCGGCGCCCATTGTTTAGAGCAGAATAAGGTGGATAGAGAGACAGCAGCAGGAATATCAGGCTGTTGATCCAATATAATGTTACATGTATTTTCTTTGTCAACTGTTTGTTCAATTAAGACATAACTAACTGTGTTTATGAGAATATTTTGACATATTTATGTGTATATTTGTCAGTTTAAGTGCAAAAAGATGCGGAAAGAACTCGGTATGAGAAGCGACTTTCTGTGCGCACCAGTTTAAATGTAACTAGCAACTCTTACATTTCTGTTTGACTTTTCTTGCCACCATGTTAATTCACTTTAAAAATCTACATAATTTTGTCATTGTAGGATATATATATATATATATATATATATATGACAATAATAAGAACACACTACCATGCACTGTTGACTTTATTTTTTTATTTTATTCATTCAAAACATGGATCATGTGACTCTTAAGTCATGTGAAGTTAAGAAACACCTGAGAGCTCAGACCATAATTGAGCGAATCTGAGGACGCTATATGCGAAACGTGTTGTTCACTTTGTGTGTGTGTATATGTGTATATGTGTATTTATATATGTGAGTGTCTTGGTTATAATACAATAGATGTTAAAAGATCCAGCACATAAAGGCTTCTCCTTTTGTATTCTCTTTCTCAGTGGAATGTTGGCGACACCTGTGGTGTTATGTAAAAGTTTTGAGTTTTGGAATTCTACTTTTTTTCCCGTCACCAGCCACTGCTTACAGTAACACTATACAGACTAAAATGCCCCCCCCCCCCCCCCTCTCTCTCTCTCTTATTCTCCTTCACCCTTTCTCTCTTTTCCATCATCCATGAGAAGGAATAGCTACAAGTTATGCTCCCCTGGATTCTCTCTCTCTGTTTATAGTTTCCACACTCACTCAATCAATACTGTCAGTCCTGCTCGATCCATTAAGTCGAACCACCTTATTTTCCTTTAAGAAGGCTGCAGCTAGAGGTCTTTAAAGGAACACACAATGATGTCATGATTTACTTACCCTCGTGTCATAAATTAACCTAAATTACCATTTTTCTTTATTTACACTCAAAGGGAAATTTGAATGTTTTTATTTTCCATTCAATGAAAGTGAATGGTGACCAGGTGCTTCAAAAATGATCAAGCTTAAAAAATGCACTATACAAGGATAATAGAAGTAATATATATGACTGGAATATGTGTGCTATTTAAATTACAGTTATGATTTGTTATGCGTCATATGTGTCAAGATTTAAAAGGTACAAGGTTGGTCTAGGATAACACAAAGTATTAAATCTTCAATAAAATTCTACTGTGGCCATTCTGTGTAATGCTCTTTTAAGCCATCACACATGTGTCATCCCCGCTGTGCAACTCTGAGCTAATGGCTTATTCTTTGTCAAACACTGCAAGGTCGTTCTCTCTATATTTTGCTGCTGATGTATGTCTTCTTCACTGTTGACACTTGAGTTCTGTCAGTGATCTGTGCCCTCATGAGTCTTCAGGTGGTCGCCTAGTAACAGGCTCATTAGCATCTCTGACCTTATCTATCCCTCATATTTAATGGCTGTTTGCAATTCCACCTGGATTCGGGTATTAAACACAAGCTCATTGCTTGGAGAGTTGAAGGATGTTTGATGGCATGTTGGTTGGGGCGTAGCAGGACTAAACTGGAAGTATATAAAGGAGTAATGGATTACACTGCATGAGCTGGAGAATCATATACCTGACATTAGAGAACACACATGACATGGACACAAATGTGTAGAAATGACATTATACTGAGACACAGTCCACAGCAGTCATGCAAAGGCCTAAATTACACATTCAGCAGTTGGGGTCCTCCTCCAATGCTACTACTTTTGGTGATTTAAACAAGTGCAGACCAGGAATGCATCTGTGAAATTAGCCATTTTGAATGCAAAAAGACTTTATTCTTTTCAATCGCTTTAGATTACATTGTAATATTTGTATTAACTCTTTCCCCACCAGTGTTAAAAAAAAAGTTTAACTGTGGAAAAACAGTGAAAAAAAAATCATTAAGTGGCAGGGAAGCTTTGTCTCATAAATGATGGAAAATTCACCGACAGGGAGAGTTTAGCAATGTAATTGACTAGGTCTTTTATATTAAATAATTTCAAGTAACAAAGCTCTACAAAATGACTATAATAATAATAATTATTATTATTTTAAATGTAGTTAAAAAATGCTTTGTTGTCAGGATGCCATTTGGAATTATTTATTAAAAAACTTAATGCATTTATGTAAAAAGTCCCTATTAGAAAATATTAAATCAAAACTGAATGAGTAATTCTATCTTTGGTAAACCAGATTTATTTATTTGTTCATCTGACACCTAAAATCAATGCTACAAACAAAGGTGATCAGTTGTTATTGATTTTATTTTTAGCCACTATTAAATTGCACTTATATTGAGTTGAATGTCAACTTTTTTGCCATCTAGTTCAAGTTTGGTCCTTTATGGCTTAAATCACATTTGTGTTCATCTATGTGCTTGTCTTGTCTGTTGTGTCCAGGTCAGGTCTGTTAATGAATCATTGCAGAGGTTTTTATTAGACTAAGCTGACAGAGATAAAGTCTGCATTCATGTTGGGTATTTCAGCATTAAATTCAGCTGTCAATAAGATGAAGGACATCTTTAAAAACATTTTCTGCTCTCTGTCATACTGACACATCAATTGATCATTATTTTAAAATGTCTTTGTAAGCATACAAATATTTCACCAACTCTCTGGCTGGTACATCTTTTTAAGGTTTTGGGATCTTGGATTCATCACTGTCATTTAAAAATCTCTACTCTTTTGCTGTCTTTATCTATCTAAGGTATCCACCATTTTTTGATGATAATCCTTTTGGCATCTACCAGAAGATTCTTGCCGGAAAGCTGGAGTTTCCACGGCATCTGGATTTCTATGTAAAGTGAGTTTGATAAAGAAAACACAACCCAAAAAAATGACACATGCCATTTTTATTGCATACATAAAACACAACGTCTAGTGAAATCATGTCAGCATAAACAATAAATATTTCATCTCAATTTATTTATTTATTTTTTGGTTACTAAAACTTACAGCCAATTTTCATATAGTGAAATTAAGCTGAAAAGAAAAAATATATATTCAAAATATATTAGGGGTGTAACGGTACACAAAAATCACGGTTCGGTACGTACCTCGGTTTTAAAGTCACGGTTCGGTACGTTTTCGATACAGCAAAAAGATAGAAATGCCAGAGAAATGTCCTATTTGTTTAAAGAAAAAATATATTTTTAAATAAGTGTGAGTTTTCCTAGATCTTGAAATTTCAGGTTTATAAATGGGGGTCATCTTTGAAGGATGAACAAATAATGTTTTGGTCATCACATTAAAAATAACATTTAATTTATTTATATAATATTTGAATTTTGAAGTGCTGGAAAAAGATGTGTGAAGTACTTGAAAGCATTTCACCATTCCAGGCAAACTGGTTCCAGTTTGTGTTACTATGTTAAATCCATGGTGAATGTTGCTGGTCTGTGGATGTAAAGTATTGCTAGTTCATTCACCGCACAATGTTTCTCCTGGTTTCCATGACAGCGCTGTTTGATCTAATAGAGATCTACGGTTAATAACGGAGAAAAGTGAATGCTTCTCACTAGATCTCGCAGCAATGTTATTACCTCAGTGGCGAATTCAAATGTTTTCTTTACCGGATCTCTTAGCGCGGTGTGGTAACAGTGTTGCTTGATCGAGATCGGCTCGCGCTGCACAGATGTTGCAGGTCTGAACTGATAAATGATCCGTAAAGCACATAATGAGTAGTGCAGTTTCGTTCTGCTTTCATTCGCGTGCCATTTGGATGTTGCGCAACGTTGTGTTGGCCGCGCCAGCATGAATTTTGCCGGCAGGAAAAATTATCCAAGCACTCGTTCGGTTTGTATGCGTACCGAACCGGAAGCCTCGAACCGAAACGGTTCAATACGAATACATGTACCGTTACACCCCTAAAATATATAACATTTTTAAATGGAAAAAAAAAGGATAATAATATTAAATAATAATTGTCAGGTGTGGTGGTGGTGAAAGGAGCAAGGACTCAGGTGCAGAGATAATGGGTCTTTTAATGATAAAAACAAGACAAAAATGCAAACAAAACTATCCCGTAGGGGAAAAGACTTGATAACTTGACTTGATTTAACTTGACACGAGCAGAAACACCAGGTACATACAACAACGAAACAGCACAGGACTGCAGACACAAGGAGAATAAATAGGGAGAACAAACAAAGGAGGTAACAAGGGATGACAGGTGGGGCAAATAATCAATCAGCTAACGAGGGAGGACTGGAGGGCAAATGAAACAGGCAACAAGATGGGAGGGCCTAGCCAATAAACAGGAGAGCACATGGCACAAGGAAACATAATAATAATAATAATAATAAATAATAATTCGTTACATTTATATAGCGCTTTTCTGGACACTCAAAGCGCTTCACATAGAAGGGGGGGATCTCCTCAACCACCACCAATGTGCAGCATCCACCTGGATGATGCGACGGCAGCCATATTGCGCCAGAACGCTCACCGCACACCAGCTTACTGGTGAAGAGGAGACAGTGATGAAGCCAATTGGTGTATATGGGGATGATTAGGAGGCCATGATGGACACAGGCTACTGGGCAAATTTGGCCAGGATGCCGGGGTTACACCCCTACTCTTTCGAAAGACATCCTGGGATTTTTTATGACCACAGAGAGTCAAGACCTCGGTTTAACGTCTCATCCGAAGGACGGTGCTCTTTTTGACAGCATAGTGTCCCCATCACTTTACTGGGGCGTTAGGACCCACACAGACCACAGGGTGAGCACCCCCTGCTGGCCTCACTAACACCTCTTCCAGCGCAACCTGGCTTTCTCAGAAGGTCTCCCATCCAGGTACTAACCAGGCTCAGCCCTGCTTAGCTTTAATGGGCAACCAGTCTTGGGCTACAGGGTGATATGGCTGCTGGCAAGGGAGGACATAACATGAAAAACATAAACATAACATGAAAAGCCATGTGCTCACACAAAACGAGACATGAACACGCAGCTATTGAAAATGCTCATAAGCCACGTGTTCACACAAAACATGACAAAAGCACACAGCTAGTGAAAACACAAGCTGCGTGCAGCACAAGACAATAACTACATGAAAAAAGGCACAGACAAGACAAAACAGGAATGTCAGGGCTCTGTCACAAAACCAAGAATTAGACTAGACAAAGATCTAGTCTAGTCAAGTGAGTTCAAAGATCACTTGTGACGGCAAGGCAAATATTATGAGTGAGATGATATAAGCAGCGCGAGCGCGACCGACCAGATCTGCCTCGCGCATGCGCCAAGTATGCACATGGTCATTGCGACTCCCCACCCTGCCTTCACGTTGCCCACTAACTGCACTATGAATACTTCGACCTCGTCTAACACACCCAGTGATAATAGACAAAGTCTCCACCACAATAATGTTGCCACGATTGCAGAGAGGCTGTGATAAAATGGCTCTCTCATACCAGCTCCGCTTTTGATCGCACTGATTCAATGCGCTCTAACTCGAACATGTTGTATAGAACATGATGTTTTTGAGTCTGAGATGAAGTATGACATGTCTGCCATCCAGTGAGGGAAGGTCGAACGATTTGTCGGCCATAGACAAATAGGCCGTTTCATTCAGTGCTGCATCTTGTCGAGTAAACTCGACCGTGACGCCTAGAGGGTTAAAATGCAACAATATTTTTTTCTATTCAGTGATAACATGCTCTTTCTTTCCAGCAAAGGGTCCTTGATATGAAAAGGTTGGAGACCCATGTTTAGGCTACGTTCACACTGCAGGCTTAAACAACCCAATTCCGATTTTTTTTTTTTTTTTTTTTTTTTGCCCCCTATGCGACCTGTGTCTGATTCTTTTCAAATCTGATCATGAAGTCTGAACGACACATCCGATCTTTCAAATGCGACCCAGGCCACTTGGGTATGTGGTCCAAATCCGATCTTTTGAAAAAATGCGACTTCAATCTGAGCGGCCAGGTCACATGTCTCCACCTGCACGTCATTGATATACAAATGTCATAATTCTGCGTTGAAGTAGGTAGGAATTGTAATTGTGGCTGGCTCTGTTGTTATTAAAATAACTTTAATATTGCTAAACAAGCACCACTGTAGACATCCATGTTGGGGCGGCAGTGGCTCAGTTGTTCATGTAGGTTGTCTACA